CCCTCCAAAATGTGCTCCGGTATCGTTTGCTCCATCTTTCCTATCAAACATCTAATCATCCTTATCTTTCCTCCTTTTTGTGGTTATTACACTCTTGTGGCACCTCTAGTCTTTGGCATTTATCATGACTTAATTGTGTTGCAAGTGCAGTAAAACACCTACTAAAACAATTCAAGTCTAAATGAAGATAAGAAGTTGTTGATATTGTTCTTTTGGGTAAAATTTCTTATGGTTTTTTTCTGTCAATTAATTTGATGCTTTTCTAGACAGAAATAGATCACTACGGAGGCAAAATAGTGGGCTCTGTTCATACATAAAGACCTGTAGAAGATGGAAGATTTAAATTTTACCCCAAAGTAAGTCAGTATCCCACACATATATTCGTACAACTGATTGGATATATCAACTCTTTGATTCCAGATCTCCACATAAGTGGCATTTTTTGTTAAACATTTTAGTGGATCACCACTTAAGTGGCATTTTGGGGGTACCGATTCCATCAACCTCAAGATCCTGTGCTAGATTGACTACAGCTTTACTTCTTCTTTGAGATATACCATTGCTGCAACATACATGCTCCACTATCTTCCACTATTGGATGGTATTTCAGGGCGGTGCTACTGGCTGAAGTGTCTTTAGGCCATTCCCAAAGGGGAGACATTAACCATGTTCTTATGCACTGTAAAATTGTAATCGTAAGTGGGCTGATTCATTGATGTCATGCTCATAACTGTGCCTGAACTGCAAGAGGGAACTGCTGCTTTTTCTTTCTTAATCCTTACTATCGTCATTTTTCCTCTACTTCTTTTGTATGTTTGTCACACTCTTGTGACCCGCTATTTCCGGGGTACCTTGATAGTCGAAGCAGACTTTAGGCTGTTGAAGCTAGAGAGATGAGCAGAGTAAGTCTGATCCCCTGTAAGGACTTCTCTGTTGACATCCACCCCTTGGCGCTCGTATGACCTTATGCAGTTGCAAGCACCGTCCCTGTAAGGACTTCTCAGTTGACATCCACCCCTTGGCGCTCGTATGACCTTATGCAGTTGCAAGCACCGTAAAACCTTACTAAAACAAACTAAATGGATGATATTCTTTCCCCCAGACTTTCTTTGAGGGTGTGGAGGCTCGGGTTGCCACAGGAGTCAAGCCTGAAGAGGTGGGATTTCAGCTGGCCTACAGCAAACAGGAGCTGAGGAAAGTCATCAAAGAATACCCAGGGAAAGAGGTCAGTAGTTTTTGTGTGTGAGAGTGTTGGTTTGTCGGCATGTCTGCGTGTGTGACTTGTACTTGTGAATGTTATGTCAGAGATGACTTGTTTATAAAAAGTTATATATCATGCATCAAGAAATGACAAATGCAGTTTTGGGACACCTGAATAGACATAAGGGTCTTGAACATCTAGCTCTCACTGGCAAAATTGAAGGCAAACGAGGCAGGGGTAGGCCCAGAACAATTTTCTTTGGAAACCTAAACAAATGGGTAACAGGGAAAGATCAGGGAAACGTAGCTTTTTTGAGAGCATCTGAGCAAAGGAATGAATGGAGAACCATGATCGCTGATTTCTGTCGTAGATCTGGCACTGGATGATGATGATCATGTTTGGTTGGTTGATGGGTGCTCTGGTGTGGTTTACTCCTTTCCTATCAAACATCTGTTGATCTTATCTCCCCTCTTTCTTTTTTTTGTTTGTTACTCTCTAGTAACACCTCTAATCTTTGGCACTTATGTGACCTTTTTGTGTTGCAAGTGCCGTAAAACACTTAATGCCTTTGTTTGCTAAAAGAAGTGTACAGCCCTATGGGTCGGACTTGAAATTTTTTGTTGTTGTAAGTCCCAACTTTCTGCTGCTAGACAAGGCAAGTACACCAGCAGTATTATGTGTGCACGTGTTTGTGTCTCTATGGGAGAGGTCTTGCCCAAGTCTTGTTTCCAGGCAAAGTGTAGCCATCATTGTTGTCTTGATGAAAATTACTGTTTAAATTAAGAATGCAACAACACTTAAAGTGGTACACGTTTAGAGAACCTAAACAGGTGGGTAACGGGGAAAGATCAGCTTTTTTAAGAGCATCCGGGCAAAGGAATGAATGGAGAGCCATGATCGCCGATGTCTGCTGCAGATCTGGCACTTGATGATGAGGTACTCATAACTTGGAAAGTGAATTAAGTAAAAAAATGAATGTGCTAAGAATTAAAATGATTCTTTATTTTGAATGGGTTTTTAAAATCTTTCTCGATGATGAGGTACTCATAACTTGGAAAGTGAATGAAGTTAAAAATGAATGTGCTAAGAATTTAAATAATTCTTTATTTTGAATGGGTTTTTATAATCTTTCTCGACCATCACAGGTGAAGAAGAACTTGGAGCATTTGAACAAGAAAGTGGAGAAACAGCTGTGTGAGGAAGAGAATCTAATACAGGTAAAAACATTTTGTCTTTCTTACCCTCACCATTCATTTGTCCTCTTCCTTTCTGACTTCTTTCTTTTCTTTTGTCCATTTGTTTTTTCTTCTCTCCTTCCTTTCTTTCTTCCATCCGTGCATCTCTCTTTCCTCCTCTCCTTCTTTGCTTTTGTTTCCTTTGTCTTTCATTCATCTTCTGCCTTTCTTTCATCCATGCATTTCTCCTTCCTCCTCTCCTTCTTTGCTTTTTGTTTCCTTTGTCTTTTACTCATATTCTTCTTGCCAGAACTTGTATGCATGCCTACATGATCTATGTTTCTGGAAATGTGTAGGAGTAGCTTTTTATTAACTGCGACTAATTGTGAGAATTTCTACTGGCTGTGGAAAGGTAGACATTAGGCAGAGAGAGTACAGAGAGCATTAATCAAGTCTTTATTGCATGAGGAGGGGGAGAGAGAGAGTGAGAGAGAGAGGCAGAGGCCCTTACATGACTGACCTTATTGCGTTACAAGTGCAGTAAAATTGTTATCAAAATCTAAATATCCCCCCCCCTTCATCCTGTGTACAGGTGGTGTGGCATGAGATGCAGGACGTGTTTATCCAACAGTACAAGTACTACGACGAGCTGATGCGCCGCTGCTACCCCGATTCCAACATCACTCTGGAGTTCACCATGCAGAACGTGCTGCAGTTTTTCTCCGACATAGCACAGGCGCACTAGCCTCAGCACGAAAGAGTGTTTTATTTGTTCTGAAATTCATTAACTCTTTCAGGCACGTGTGTTGTGACAAACTTTGCCGACTTTAATTAGCTTTACCGAAATGTCAGAGGCATTTTGTCCGTCTTTCAGGCCCGTATAGTTTGACAGACTTTGCCCATATTAATTTGCCTTTACCAAAATGGCAGAGTAGTGGGAGTAGGACCTTTCCTAAACAACTGAAGGAATGACAAACGAGAGAAAATATTGTAGTATCTTACTTTAGTTGTTCTGGAAATAGTCAGTAGGCTAGTATTAAAAACTAGTATTAGAAAGGAATCAGACCTGCCAACTGTCTGGAATTTCTCGGAATCAGCTATACAGGGAATTTAAGAGGACATTGTAGCCTTTTTCGGTTCCGCTTGTTGTAATTTTGTTCGTTGTTACATGTCTGCTGTAACATCATTGGGCGTCCCTGATTGGGTTTTGTAAAAGTTCCGCAAGTCTGGGGAATGTGTGAGCCTGGTATGCGTGATCGGCTGATTGATGCTCACTTCTCTATTGGGCAAACAGGAACTGGCGGTGCTATCAACACCTATCGTATTGTTTGGGCTGAAATGAGTCGTTAGAACTCGTTAATTTATTCAAGATGAAAGCCTCTTTCATTAGAGGTAGATGCAATTGTGTATTATTGTCCCTAGTGGTGTCCAGACACACTGTGATGTGTAATAACTCAATTTGTGCAAATATGTGTTGCAGCATGGAGGAATCGGGCGCTCGTTAGTTTTTAGGTATATGGAGTTATTGGCATCTTAAAGCTTGTTCATTTGTCTTCCTTTTGGGGAAAAAATGCCCATCTATCATGAATAGAAATGGAGATATCTGCAATTGAAGGAGATGGGGGAGTTGTCTTGTGTCAGAGGTAAAATTAACGAGAAAATGGCCACCAAATTTTGGTGAATGTTACCTCTTGAGAGTCCGTGGGAACTGCAAATTTACACGTATGTGCTTTTCTTCAACATTTTTCAGTAAAATCCACACAGAATTGTGTTTTTAAATGGATATAAAAGGTATAGAGCTCCCCCCCCCCCAAAATCAATAAAAATTGCTTATTGGGTGGAAAAATACCGTTTTTTTCGATTTCATGATTTTGACGAGCGCCTGATTTCTCCTTGTTGCGACACGTGTACCTTATTGTGATAAGCAGAAGTGTTTGTAATGGTATGTGATACATGTGTCATGATGAGTCAAAAGTGGAACTTTGTGATACATTATGATTTATTAAAGTGGCAGGGAATGTGTCATTGTTTGAGTGAGTTGAAAGCAGTTTTTTCCCAGATCAGAATACCTCAACTTTGTGTATTCGGAGGACACTTTGTGTCTATATGATTATATAATTTGTTAATAAAATGATAAAAATTGCATTAATGCTGCACATTTCCTTTTTTTTAAAAAGCCTATTGCACATTAGAGTTTTTTAAAAATCACATTTTAAAATAACCTGAGTTGTGCATGTAATATATATGTAGAACAATGTTATGTATATAAAAATTTCTGTTTAAAAAAAGTAGGTTCTAAATGAAAAGATTATTTTGTAATCTTACACTAGTCCTTGTTAAGATTTCAGTACTTAAAAAGTCTTGTTTCATACAAATATCTTGTATAATGTAAATTTTATTCCATTATTTGTATGGCTCCCACAGTACAGAGAGTTAAGCTGGGGACCGACCTGACTGTCAATAATTTATTTATAGAGGCACCAGCCATCCACGAGGTGCTGTTTTAGCCTCTTTCTCCTGTCTGTGGATGAATTATTATTTTTTCCAACTCCAATTTTGTTCTACTTTTATTTATGCACCTTGTATCTATGGTCTTCAACTTGGAATTTCCCTTTTATTCGCTGCAGTTTTCACACAAAGGTTCCCCATTACTCTTCAGCTGACTCAGACTCTATGTGCTATTGCCCTCAGAACATGTAGCGAGAGAAAGCAGGGGTTTGTATCTTCATCTGTGCAATGCAGATGTATGTACTTGCCCCAGTAGTAACGTAGCTATGTTTAATCAAAAGTATTACACACTGATATGATGCAAATTTTTTGTTGTTGTTGTAATATAAGATATTTACATGATGATCCTTGCAGTCTTGGATTTAATTCAGTGCACGTGGATGAATGAAGGACAAAATGGAAATATAGAAGTGTGAGTTGGCGCAGCTTGTTTGAAAAGTAAGGTTGTCTCAAATTAGTTTTCTTTTTCTTCTTTATTTTGGGTGTAGTTCGTGGCTTTTTTTATGTATGGAAGTAACATCCTTATTTTATGTGTCTTGGTGAAAATTAAAACCGGTGGTAAAAAATGTATGCATTAATACATACATCTTCCCTCCCATTGTATACATTTACCCTTGACTCTTTCAGGATGAATATATACAGAAATAACTGGTTATTGGACTGATCTATCACAGATTTGTAGAACAAATGAGGAAATGTTTGCCTTCAATTGAAATCTTTATTTCAGAGGGGGGCAAATCCACTCTGCCAGGGCCCTCTTTTAGAAAGAGATCTAAAATTGACCTTTACGTAACTAAATTGGTCATTAAAACAAAACAAGTGAACGTTTCTTGATAGTTCTTCATCTCATGAATGAACTCCTGGTAAAAGAGACCTCTTTTCCACCTCTCTGACATCCTCCTCTGTTTATCTTCATTTCTGACAGCGTTGTCTTTATCTGTACAGAAAATTATTTTAGGACGGGGGTACGTTTTTACCTTGTCTTTCTGTGAGTGTTTGGAAAGATTCATGATGGTGCTGACGATTCCAGTTCTTTATAATATTACTACATTCATTCTATCACGGCGTACGACTGGAAAAAAGTGTTTCCTTTCTAGTATTAGATTTTAGATGAGTTTACAGTCAAAAGGTTTATGGATACAATATCCAGTTTTTTGGTGTAGGATACTATATTCCTTAGAATTAGAAAGAACCAAGTCTGTTTTCCTCAGTCAACTTAACTTCAAGTTGGTACTTGCCATCATTAGAGAGCAGAGTAAGGAATGCTTATAGTCTGTGTGTCTTTGGCTTCAATGATGCATGTCCCCAAGAAAATAGGTTGTTATAATTTGGAATAAAGTTCATGGCCGGTGGAGGGAATAAAACTGTTATTGTGAAGTTGTGTGATTCTTTTGTGGAAAAGGAAACAGAGTAGTAAATACGAGAATACAAATTGTGTATTTACTTTAGTTTGAAATTTCACTTAACTGAAAAATTGTGGAAGAGAAGTTTGTCAGAAGCACCTGTGTCGAACTTGTGTTTGTGAATGTGTGAAGAGTGCCTGTGATGTAAAGGCTTATGTGGGTGGTTGGTGGGTCCTCTGGTGTGGTTTGTACCTTCTTTCATATCAACCATTTATTGATCGTCCTTATTTCTCCTTCTTTTATTCGTTTGTTACTATCTAGTAACACCTTCGGCATTTGTATGACCTAATTGTGTTGCAAGTGCTGTAAAACGTTTATTAAACTAAAAGGCTTATGGTGCCCAGTTTGTGTGCTAGCCCTGTGCAATATAATGTGTATAAATTCACTCAGTCATGCTTGGCTTGATATTAAAAGTCATTCCACTCAATCCTTTGTATACTTTGGTGATTATATACTTATATACAGTTCTGTTTTAGTATGTCTATTTTGTATTTGTTTATGTGTATGTGTTTGTTGTTACAATTGATTCATTTACTTGCTATATCCCTAGATAGGGGCCAAACTGGGTGCTCTGGTGTGGTTTGCTTCTTCTCTCCTATCAAACATCTATTGTCTTTATCTCCCCTCCTTCTTTTTTGAGTTTGTTACTCCCTTGTAACACCTCTAATCTTCAGCCCTTATACGACCTTATTGTGTTGCAAGTGCCGTAAAACTCTTACTAAAACTTTTAAAAACCATTGTCGAGGAGAAATATGGCCTCCTTGGATAGGTGACCGTCTTACACGCCACCATTATAATGAAGAAAAAAATGGGACCTGGCCGTTTGTCTTACACAGGTGGCCGTTCAAGCAGGTTCGACTGTATTTTTATTTCATTGTTCAACTTGGCCGCAGAAAAAAAATTACCAACTCGGTGTGTCACATTCCCTGTGTCAAAAATATATATCGATTTCAGAAGCAGAAATATTTGTATGATTTCTTGTGACAGCTCGACTGTTATGGGTGATTTCCTACAGCTACGACTTGTAAAACATAATGTTATTTTTAAGCTCAGCACTTACACATTTCAAGACTGTAGCGTTATTTTTATCTAAATTATTAATATACGCGGATTTTGTAAAGTAAACTAAAAAAAACAACTTAATATTTGAAAAGCTTCGTGTGCGCCAAGTTGTGTTGATTTAGGTGTAAAACATTTATAATTATTACGAAAACTACAAGTATGTGGGTCTGGTTGGGGGGTGGGGGGGAGGTTACAGTTCGATTCTAACTTCGTAAAGATTGTGACGGAGAAAGATTTGCAGCCATGGAAGAGCAGCAAAAAAAAAGGGTAGATTTTTAAACAAATGTGGCATACAAGGTTTCTTGAACTGATCCTTCGAGATGGTCGTCTTGGACAGGTGGATGTTAGAGCTGGTTCCCACTTCATTTTTTTTTAAAATTATTTTTTTGGTAAGTGTTTTACGGCGCTCACAACTGCAAAAGGTTATATGAGCGTGCGCGGTTGAAAGAAGTTTTGAATTTTGCCCGTGTGGCGGCCGAAGCCTACTCTTATCGATTTTAGCCCACCAAGGGATCTTTAACGTGCGCAACTTGCACATGGGACCTCCGAGATTTTTGGCCCTTGTCTGAGAAGGCAAGGTGTAGATCTTTCCAACCAGAAGATCTGGGGTGTGGCTGAAAGACAGCAGAAAGACTAAGAGGGAGCCAAGAAGTAGCAGTAAAAAGGCTGCAGAAAGAGTCAGGAGCCGAGAGAAGGGGGCAAAAGAGGAGAGGGGGTGGGGGCAGAATGTGGAGACGAAGTCAGACGACAGAACAATGTTAGAGAGCAAGAAAAGGTGTGAAAGGAGACAATTTTAGAGAAGAAAATTTGTCCGTCACTACCCGGATTCGAACCCGGGACCTTTGAATGAGAGGCGAACACCTTAACCTGTAGGCCACGAGCCCCCCCCCCCCCCTTACACACACACACACACTCACACACGTGCACAACAAAATTGTTTAAAATTTTTTAAATCAGAATAAATACAAATATAGAATAAAACAAATAGGTTGCAGCAACAATTATT